TTGAAAGCTTTCATCCATGCAAATGATTGTGGTGCTGTGGTGTGTTGGCTAAAATACTCAAGCCTGAAGCTGCAGGCTTTCAAGCTTTTGGAACCTCAAATATAATGTTCAGTTGCTAATGTGCTCTATATCACCCAGTCATGGCATTATGTGTTACTTTTAAGGGATTACCATTTTATGTGACCAGCATAGGGTGTGGGTTACAAATCACCCTGTGACAGCAGACTATATATTTATATATTTGGGGGGGTATCATGCAGCCTTCCAGATGTTGTTGAATATCAACTCCCTGGAGGGCTGCTTCCCACTCTGGACAAGCACTCTAAGTGTCCCTGTTTACCACTGCCAGTCTCCATTTTCTGGTATCTGTCCTCAGTAAACAACTGTTGCTGAAACGTTTAGCCAGAATACTCCAACCATGTATTGGCTTGGGTTTTTTAGGAGTTATAGTCCAAATTTTTCTGCCTACCTCTGGCATTTAGGGATGTCATTCCAGTATTCTGCTTGAATGAACTACCAGTTCTATTACTCTTCAGGGTCCAAGTCACTTCCTCAGCTGTCTGAAGTTAAATCTCTGGATTGGCAATGGTTGCATCTTCTCTTTAGCACTCACACAAATAAACTGTGTGAACAATTTCCCAGGGTTAGGAAAATTCATTGGACAACCCTTTACCCATCAGAGACTGCAAGCTGGTGCTGGCTGCCATCATTGGGAACTGTCAGTGGGACAATGAATCTACGCCAGGTTTTGGATAGCGTCAAAGGAGCTGTCCAGTGTGCTGAATCTGTTGTGAGAGATGAGGTTCAGTATATCAGAGACCTCCTGTAAAGCCTAGATTAAAACCTAAGTGCATTCCCCACACCACTGACACGTGGACCATGAACTGCCACTGGCTGCTATCCTTCTTGTCACTCCTGCAATTGCTGCTGAAATTCTCTCTGTGGTGCTACAGAGCCCTTTTGTACCACAAAGCCTGGCAGGACACAGTGTCTCTTTCCTTTCTAGAAACCCTCAGTAGGAAGGAATGGAAGATAAGACTGTTTGTACAGCTTTCAACTGACCAGATCAACAGAGGTGGACAAAGTACAGCCCTGTAAATGGTTTGCTGGACTGGAACTCCTAGTATCCTTCCCCACTGGCTGATGGGAGTTGCAGTCTGGAAACACCTGGAGGGACACATCTTGTCCATTCATGTAACACAGTAATATTCAGTTGAAAGATACATCTGACCAGTCCTTAAAAGCCATCTTTGAATCTTTGGTTTGGTTGTTCTTATGTGGCTTAGAATGGCTGCATCTTTGTGTAGGGCCTGAAATCTCTTATCCATATGTGTGCAATAAATAAATAAATAAATAAATATCCAGTACTGGTCTAAACTTGGAATCTGCATCTTTACATCTACTATTTCCTTTTAGAAGAACAGGCCAAGAAGTTATCTTTTCCAATGCGACATCATCTCCAGATGGCTCCTCTCCATCTGAATCCCTCTGAATGAATTTGACAGCATATAGTCCCCACCTCCCACTCCCAATAGCTCCTTATGCATGTAATTTCCCTTCTTTCCAGCCATCTGTATTTCCTTGTACTATGGAAGACAGATTGGTTGGCTCTGCCAAATAATGGAAATTACTCTCAGATGAGAGACATATACAAATATAGCTTTGGAATAATAACAACAGCATTTCTTCAGCTGGAACAAGAGAGAAAAGAGAGAAAGAGAATAAATACCAATGAGTTTGGCTCCACCAACATACTTTTTAAAAGCATGCACAATCAAACAGACAAGTTTGGAAAAAAGTGAAAAAAGGTTCAACCTTCTGAGACAAAAACCAACTGGGAAGGCGGGGGAATGTGAGGAAGTGTTCAGATACGCTGGACTGCATCTGCAGCCTAAAGTGAAACAGTACAGAAGATCTATCTGGGTTTTCCCCCACAAAAAACATTTGATTCTTATTTATATATTTTCCTTAAGTTTCTACTACAGCAAGGATGATGTAAAGGTTT